TGGGTTAAAACCTAAATAAACAACATATTGCTATTTTAAGTTTCCTAATATTATGGTCACACATGTTTTTCTGACAAGGAACCGAAATAATATACTTTAAATTGTTTCGAAATGTAATATGTTTAAAAGAACGAACCTGTTGAATCACTTCCCGTCTCCCTCCAAGTCGCCGCTGTTTTGGATGTTTCAGGGTTCCTCTGAGTTCCAGAATATATATTAAAATTCTTGCACACAAATCGTTTGGATTTTAGTCCAAATTGAATTTCTTTGGTTTAAATTTGGTTTTAAACACGCATCGAGTCCACCTAACCGCCCGACTGCCTTCTTCTTCTCCCGCCTGTGATTTGAGTTACACGCAGAAACTTTACCGTTGGGGGCTGAAATCGCAATGCATTCTGGGAAGCTGAGTTTATATGCGTAACATTCCGAAGTAGAAATTCCCACAACAAACTAAGCTTAGATAAGCATTATATAACATTCCGAAGTAGAAATTCAACAAACTAAGCTTAGATAAGCATTATGCTACTATAATTACATTACTAATATTACGTTTTTAAACAACATAAAGAGAGGATAGTTAATTTCCTAAACAGAAAGTGGTGTGACTATTGTTGTGTCATTAGCATAACAGTGAATTCCTAAATGATTACATCAACGACCATAGAAAAGAAAAGGCATCCGTTTCCCCACATTTATTAACACGCTGTAAAAACAAAACAAAACAACAACAACACAAAACAAATCACTGTCATGGGGTTTACAATGTTGTCAGTAACAAGGTTATTTGAAGTATAAATAAAAGTAAAATTACGTAAAAAAAGGACCTAGACGGTAACATAAGTGATTAATAAAATTCGTCCAGGATGTGGTCAAATCTAGGCTCCATATTACAATTAGTGATTTTAAAATCAAAACACAAAACAAAATAGTTTAAAACCCACACGTGTCCACGTCTACGATTTAACTCTCGTGCATGCAAAAAATCACAACAGCCTTATTATACAAGATAATTATTTACCTGAAAACTGCTGTCGTCACGTCGAGATCGAATTATAAACGTAACTTTCCTCTTTAAGCCGCCAACATATTACAATGACTCCAGTTCTGTACGAATTCCAACGCTCAGAAGTTAACAAATGAAAAAAAGAAATCACAGGCTCCTCCTCGTAGAGAAAAACAAATCGTGTCAAGTTTTAGACACTACTTCCTCTAATTTAACTGTCAAAATAAAAACATGCATAGACACTAAGTATACTGCACAAGCGTTAAGCAACACTAAACGTAAATCCATTCGATTTTAACATCGTGTTAAAAAAAATGTGACAAAGCACAGGAAGCCAATACTTTTCAGGAAAGCCATACAAAAAGTAGCTGGGTTTTTTTTAACGTCCAACTTTTATTTTATAACGGCAGTTGTTGGGTGATTCCGGTATGGTGTTGCTCTTGTTTGGTCCTTGACATTTTTCCTGGGAGGGAGAACTTTTCACGTGCCACTCATCTGACTGAGCATCTGTTCACATGAGCTGCGTGTCTGTGTCTGTCTGTGTGTGTTGACTCAGCAGGTTAAAAGTGTTTATCATACTATATACTTAAGATGATGGCTGTAAAAAAAACTGTTAACAACAATGGTATCTACACAATTGCCACCTGAGTTACTTGTTTCTTATATACGGAGAAACAAAACTGCAAATTATCACTAACAGAAAATGTAAGTTAACATTCAAATGGGGGTAATTTTGGATCTTTTCATTCTCCTGTTCATACCCTATTGTTATAGTTTGACATGATCAGTGCCTTATTCGGAATTACAAGTGTCACGTGTCTTTAAAAACTCTCCAGAAACGATATCAGATAACACAGCAACATCACAGTAGTATAATAGTCTCATAGTGCTCTCTCACATGTCACTTGACAATTTCACTAGACACATTTGGAATTTATTATTTATTCATTTATTTTTGTTTTCAGCTTCAAAAAAGGCTGCTGTGTACAGAGTATGTATCACGTGACTGGCTCTTCACCATAGGGAACAAACCTTTCGAATATGATGAGACCTGATGATAGAAAATGACTCAAACAAGCAAAGGTAATGCATTTTTTTCAATTATCTCAGGTTTAAATTGGAATGGAAACATGAAAGTAATTTAATATTTGTCAAAAAACAGGTTATAAGTAAGAAACTCATTGTACTAAACTACTTGTACTCCCCCCATACTCCCACAGACTTGCCGTCCCACTCTGAGGTGGAGAGACACTTGACAAAGAAATGTCCCAAGTCATGTTTAGAGATGGCTCTGCCTCGCACCATGGAGTCAGACACCTGGTAACGCTCTGTCAGAGGAAGTTCATCTGGAAATGGCAAAATGGAAGATAATGGTAAACCTCAAAGATGACAAGATGAGTCTCTGTATGTTAACACACAGCCAATTTCAGTTAGAATAGTGCTTGTCCTGGTTTACATACTGCAACACAAGGCAAGTGTGGTAGAATCAAAGTGCTGTGAAAAATATGCATGACTCCGGTGTCTCTTTTTTTTTTTCAAAAGATCTTGCTTTTTCTTTTGTTAGAAAATAAAATGCAAAATATTAACCATCAATGTGAGGCGGCATGACCGCCACGTAGTCTAGTCCAGATGTTTTGAGCACCATGTGCATCCTGTCATGGTCCTCGGTCAGAGGAAGAAGACGGGGAGGGACTTGGGCACGATCCCACAGCAAGAAGGCTATGAGTGAGAAAATGAAGGACAACAAGGTGAGTAACAAGTAAAGGCTCATGCAATCCTGTTTACACAGAGACTCCTACCTGACATGCAGGCAACTACTTTGGTGATCCCACGAGCCTTCATGGCCTCCACAATGTTCCTGGTGCCATCAGACATCATGGTGGTCGGGCCTGAGAACAGCACAATATTTCCACTCTTTATTCATTCGGTGTTGACAAGTTTCTAAGTCCTGACCTAGTGGTAATTTCTATTTTTTGCATACTTATAATATTGAGTCATTGACATATAAACTTATACAGTGTACAAAAATGACAAATCATGTACTGTATTTTTGGTCTAAATATGCAGACAAGATGAGGACTCAATAACGCTGCATCTTTATTATGACAAATTCAGAACAGAAAATGTGTGTTTTGTAAATAGGATCATGTAAGTAAATTAAAATTCAATGTTTATGGTAATAAACTAGAGATGTTATGTTTTTGTTATCTGTGGCCTTACTGATGTCTTTGCCTGTCCCAAGTATGATGATGACTGCGTCCTGCCCTTCCATGGTCTTCATCACATCATCTTTATTTAGTACATTTCCTACCACCACCTTGGAAGCCTTGTGGTCAGCAGGCAGCTTGGCAGGGTCCCGCACCAGCACGGTCACATTGTATCCTGAAGTGGAACACGATTAACGGGTCAGTAATCAAAAGTAAACTGTATCAGATAGCAGGGGAACGGGGCCAAATGGCAACAAAACATCCAAACTTGACTTTGAAAACGTGTCAGGTCTTGTCTATTACTGTAAGTAACACTGACTTGTCAGGTAAAGGGCAACCCAAATACAACTAAAAGTTTATAAATTGAGTATGCTGGAAATTGAAAAACAAAATGCTTTTATGAGATGGTTTTCTCTTTTTAGCCTTTGAAACCTAATGTTCACTGACATCACTTGCAACCCCACTTCTACACCATTGCACTAGCTGTCAATAACACATGGTGCCGTAACTCACTGTGCTTTGTTAAATATGCACTCGATGGATCATTCATGTTTAACTAAAAATGTCCAGTGGAGTTTCTTTAACTAGTGGAAGTTATCATCTTTGTCGTTTATTTTCTGTCGTCCACCAGGGGAGTAGGCCACAGTGCTGGTGATACACTGATTTAGTGGGTCTGTCACTTTCACCTGATTGGTAACATTGTAGTCGATTTACTGCGTGTTGTATAAATGGGACATATGTGGTTCAACAGGACATGATTTCAGTCCAACATTTCTACACTTCACCCACTACATCTAGGTGTTCCCACCCTTTCTGAACAGGCCAGATAGTGACATCTTCTACTATCAGCACTCAGTTGTGAGTCAGCACAATGCTAATCACTAACGTCTCACATGACTCCGCATTTTTTGGTTTTGTCTTGCACTGGACTGGAGTGGAGGAAATTAAAGTAAAGTTAAATTAAATTATTCTCATAACGTGACATGGCTGGTCACAATTTTCTGTGTGTGTGTGTGTGTGTGTGTTTGGAGGATTTTAAGTCTTGTTTTAAGTGGCACTGAGAATTTGCACCTGAAATAATAAGCTCAGTTAAAGCAGGTTTAAATTCACATTTTAGTGTTAATTTAAGTATGTCAATAAAGGTGTGGTTTTCTTAATATCTTCACGTTTGATTTAATAACACATTTAAAAACAGGCACTGCACATGCACTATTGTTCCTTTTAGTGTTGTATAACTCCAGTTTCTCACTGTTGAACTTCAAAACAACACGTAGTTCTATGGTCTTTAGTGTGTATACATCCACAGTAATAGAAAACCTAAAAGCTTGTTTTACTTCTGATAATTTACAGACTTAATATAATATTAACCAACCATCATTTGGCGATTTTAGACACATGCTGTGATACACTGTAAAACAGTACTACTTATAAACAAAAACAGGACAGTTATGAGGTAAATTGTAAAACAAAATATCTTATTGTGACAATATTCAGAAGGCAGAGAACGTATAATCTGCACAATAAATTCAAATGTTATTCCTGAGTGTACGATTGCTGTTCTTTAATTTGCCTCTATTAAAAATCCTTGATAAAACCCGTCTGAAATTATAGATTATTCAATGAATGGAGTTTTCATATCTTCCTCTTTGCACTTCGATTAAATTAGGGCAAAATCTGATAACGTTTATTTCTGATCAATTTTATTTTCATTGTTTTCTTTTGGATCCTCCAGTCCTTAAAGGTCGTTACAGTGGCGGTTCACACAGCTTTTGTCACGTGTTGTTATGCCACTGTTCCTGTTCCTGTTGCCTACTGCATGACCAACACTGGATATTTACAGAGCATCGTATGTACTTTCTCAGCGTGCGTACTTTGAACCTACACACGTATCGAACTGACCTCTGCTCTTAACTAACCTGCAGCCACGGCCAGTGGCAGAGTCGCTAGCCCGGTCATTCCTGTGACTCCAAATATCGCGACATTTTTGATGAACTCCGACATGGCTGAGAATGAGCGCGAACCTCAACACGGCAGCGAGAGCAGAACACGCTTAGGTACAGCTGTACACTAAAGCAGAAGGTAGTTGTCACTCAACAATAAACAAACATTCTCGACATCTCTTCTTTTAGGAGGAGATACACAGGAGATACGCCCCCTTCTTACTTAACGGCCAGGAAGAGCAGTGCGGTTTTCCCTCATGTCTCCCCCTCCCCTTTGCTGCTGCTGAGATATTTAAAGTCACAGTGCAGGTTAATGCCTCTCATCAGTATTCCTCTTGGAAATACCAGGGTACGCCAAGAAGTACGCAGACAAGTTAAATCATAAAACCAATTTTTGAAGAAAAAAATTTAATTTGTCTACGTGATCCCCGAGAACTCCCTCGTAGTAGAATTCTGAAGGATGTCTTTTGCACCTTGACACAGCTGGCTTCTTTGCCTTGTTGAAGAACTGAAATTAAGTTCCTTTCAGAATGTATCTTAGTTGCCTTAATTGGAAGCACCATTTTCCTCCATCTCACTACAAGTCTCTCAGACCTCTCTTAAACCATATTGATATTATTATGGCTGTCTTGGTTACAAAATGAAAAGCAAACCTAAAATCTAAAAGTATAATGACTTCATAATGGAAACATGAGCCGAAAAAATCAAGAGGAATCGTATTTACATGCAATGACAACACAGGCGATTCTACTTCTGAATTACTGTTTGTATTGTTTGTTTATTTACTGTTCAAAAATAGTTTGCAAAATCAGTCAAATTTCCGAATTGAAGCCAGTACAGTAATTCCAATGTCACTTCTTTGTATAAAAGTATTTTGACTTTTTTTCTTCCTTTCCTTTTCCTTACCATTAGATGCCGTACATTGACGATTAACAATGTTGCCCCTCGTGGCTAAAATAAACTCCGTCCCCCTCTTCCCTCACACCCTCCACCCTCTCTGTCTCTGCACTGATGCTGATATTTCTCGCCAGCATCACCATCCGAAAGAAGGAGGAGGAGGAGGCAAAGAAAGCGAAGGAAGGGGAGGGGAGAAGAGGCAGAGTCAGGTGGAAACGGAGACCTCTGTGGAGAATCATCACCACCTTCCGCCGGCTCACAACCACAGCAGCCGCAGCATCACTCCGGCCGGCGGTCACAGCTGCAGGGACGCAGCGCTCCTCTCTTGGGCGTCAGGACCTCACAATTCCACGGTGCGTCCTCGCCGCCTTGATGCCCAAACAATCAGCTTTCTCCTAAAAAAAGGACTGACCGAGGGGAAAACCTTGTGGAATAAAAGCGGACCGTCCCTTGTCCATTGACAAACCACTCTCTTCATCGATCCTGCCCAACGACGTCTTTGGTATCTGAGGAGGGCAAAGCCAGGCGAAAGAAGCTGACACTGAACCCTGAGGTAAATCAGTAGATTGATGACAGAATGCCCCCCCTCTGCGTGTATTGTAGTTTTATTTTTCCTTTCGCTGTGTGAAAGCGGAGTGCACGGTTTTTATGCAGGGACGGCCGGCCTGCATTTGGGTGCAGGGTACCGCAGTGATCCCGTGCATGGATGCGCTGCTTCATCATGTGTGTTTTGTATCTACATGTGTTGTCCAGACACACGCTGTTGAGTAAAATGATGATGCAGCCCTTTTTGTCTAATTTGAAGGGAAAAGGTGGATGAAGCTGCAGAGCAGCGGCCTGGTGCATGCGGGCTGTGATTTTGCACATTGCAGTCAGTTCAGCAGCTTTGTGTTGTCTTCTTCTTTAAAAGACAACTTTAAATTACAGAGGCGATGGCCTCATTCCGTCCTCGGGAAAAAAAAAATCATATTTTCACTGTTCACTATAGATACATTAACACAGCGTTGCTAAAGTTGCTGCAGTCCTGCAGGAAGTTGTAATGTATCCACGGTCCCACTGTTTGACCTCAAAGAGGAGCAGCACACAACGAAATCACGAACCGCGGTTAACAAACGTCCACGGTTATTTTACGGTTTCAGAACTCCACGGTGGATTGATTTGTGATTTTGGAACGTTTAGCCCTTACAAGATACTGTTTTACTCCACCACATATAGTCCTAATAATTTGTTTTCAAGCGCCACAAGGGGGAGCTCCAACTTACTTCCATCTGTAAGGGATGCTACAGCAGGTAATCTTTTCAGTTATACCTTACTGGCAGTTTTCCCCGACCAATAAAACTGGAATTTTTGAGAATTTTAAACTAATTTAAAAAAGGCTCTAGACTAGAGGTTACAGATGAACAACCTGCCCAGGCAATTAAAGCAGACAACGGAAGTCTGAAGTCTTTATATACGTTATACAGTAATCCATGAAGTGCTATAAGCACCTTTTTTTTTATCATTTCTGTGCCAGGGCTGGTTTCCTGGTGGCTGTATAAATGATCTAGTGGTGTGTTTTAAAACGTGGTTGCAGCATAGACACAGTTATGGTAACCTGTGTTATTGACATACTGACTGTAGGGAGCTCCAACTCAGAAAGGCAGGGATCACTTTGAGTTTGACCAAAGCTTAGAGAAATGGTGAGGGTTGGAGCAGAAAGTGTGAGCTTTCATAAGTTATGTCCCAAGTAATAGGAAGCATATGTGTGTGTATATATATATACATATATATTTACGTATGTATGTATATGTGTGTGTTCCAATCCTTCTGTTTTGAGTTGTCCACATGTTCGCTTGTCCATATATATGTATATTAGAGCATTATGTTCATCAGACAGTCACAGTGTGAATTGTTGTTGAAGGATGGAGTGGTGAACTGTGAAACACACCCTTGTACCAGGGCTGCTGTGATTGGCTCCAGCGCCCTGTGGCAATAAAAAGGAGTGAACAAGTTAAACTAAACTCCCACACACTGTATGTATAGGCTGCACATGAATTTTTAATGTCTTTATAAAGCATTTACACGTGATAGTATTTTACAACCATTACAGTGATATCCAACAATACTGAACAGTTATTTTGGTGACGGCTTTTCAGTGTTGATTTTCTAATATGTTAAATTGGCAGTTGTTTCTCTCATGTAAGGCCAGTCATTGAAGTCTAGGCGAGTTTGTGCTTTTAAGGTTTGAACTGAATTTAAGGATTTGGTAAGAGGACACCGACGGCAGCACAGGCTTTTATTTCAGTCATAGAAGTATCAATGTCCCTGAAGTCCTAATTTGGTTGAATTTCAGCTGCAGTGGAAAAGGTGACTACAAGCTCAGTTCTGCTGACAGAGACTGTTACCCACCGTCTATGATAAATCTGAAACCACACCAGCGAAGAGCCCTCTCTCCCAGTCAGCTGTTAGGCTTCGAGCAGATGAACTTGGTTTTCATATGAGTTTGAAGGCACTGACCAGGGAAAACAACCAGAGGCATGATTCCCTTTTCACCAAATATATTTCAGAATTGCTTCCATTTTTCAGAGACTACTTTGAGCTTCTTATACCTGTGATCTGGCTGTAAGGCTGGTGGAACATCCACTGCACTTGATTTGTTTCCTGTTGTTTTCCTGCTGTTTTTTTTTTCTATGCACAAAGTGAGCGTTGTGGCTCGGACATTAGGTCTTGCCAAGTCAGAATTGGGCGTTGCTCTAGCTTACAGATGTTGTCAGTGGTGAAGTGACTGTTGGAGACTACAGTACATAGGGTGTAGGCTGTAGTGTAGCACGGTGTGGCACCAAGAAACATTTGGTGTCAGTCAGAGAGAGACATCTGTCAGCGTCCCAGGTTTCACATATCTTCGCACAGTGAGATCCTTTTGGATCAGGCCTTGAATAAGTCTGATATGAATACATTACATTACCATGCATTTTGGGCAATTATTTTCCAATTAGTGTTATCAGTGTTCAGCAGTGCCTCCCCACACACAGAGCAGTGAATCCTCTTTCCAGTTTCACGTAGAGATGAGAGAGAAGCTGCGTCTGTTGTTTATCTGTTTGATCTGTTAGTTTGGACACATGTTTATACCTGGGCTACCACTGAGGCCAACGCAGGACAAACCTCAGAACCAGGTTTAAAAGTCATTTAAAGCAACATTTTAAAATAAGTCTTTTTTTAAAGATACTGAAAATTCACAGAGGATCTTAAAATAGATATAAATATGATATAATGTAATAATAATAATAATAATAATAATAATAATAATAATACAGCTTGAACTGTCATTAATTATTTTTTACGTCAAAGTAAAGTATAGTTCAGTTTAACATCAGTGCTCTTTCTATGTCTTGTTTGTTTAATGGATCTTGGTGCAGTTTTAAATGATAATTAATGCTGATCAACTGAATTAATTCATTAATTTATTAATTTCTATTAAATTTATCTTGCATTTAATTTTAGAAGGCAGTATCTAAATGTCTGTGAATCAATATTACTTGATATTGGACATAAAAGTTGGAATATAATTCTATATATGTATATAAATGAGAATACAAATTAATGCAACATGAAAAGATTTTAATTTTATAGTTAGACGAACATTTCCACTAAACTGATTCTCCCATAAGATCTTTTCATACATAATTATTTTGTTTAATAAAAATATTTTTATTTAATTTTTTACATTTACATAATTTGGTCATTTAGGCTCAAACTGTGGCTGATACTTGCGTTATAACACCTTGTCAACAGTACACAACAATACACATTCAACTGTCTGACCAACAGAGGAGGAACCGTGTCTGAGCTTTTCAATAATTCATGGTCAAACCTGGGTAGAGTTATATCTGTTCTTTCAGTTTAGCGTGCTGCTACAACAACGTTCTTTATTATTAATCTTCACTTTTCAACATCAATAAAACAAAACATTCAGTTTTCTGTACGAGAAATTAACCACAACATATAAACCATTCTGGGTCCAGTGGTTATAAATACACGTGTGCAGGCATGTGTGTGTTTTTTATATAAACTTGTGGTATAGCCTCTCCAGCCTGGGGCAGGAAAATAGCTCAACAGCTGAGCCCTCTTAATATGACAAAAGCGATTCACACAAACACACAATCAGTATCTGAGCTGCGAGTGAAAGACACCAGCTGTGGGATGTGAGGCGAGGCTTGTGGCTGAGCAAAGCAGAAGACACATACAACGCAGACATGATCTTAACTCCACTCCTGAAATCTGATGGTTTTTTTTATTTTAATAATTCAGGTTTGTGCTAAAACCAGCAGTTTTTGTGTGTTTGAGAACAATTTGCTTTTCCGTCTGCCTTCTGGTTCTGCAGCTTTGGGCATTTTAAAAATATATTTCTAATCGCTCATAAGTGATTATTTATATTTGCCTTGAAAACCAAATACATTTTATTTTAAGTGATTCATTCACACATTCACGTACCGATTCAATTTTAGCTAATGAGTTCTTGAGTTCACTAAAATGTGTGTTTCCCTGAGTTTTGGCCCATGTCTGGTTGTAGTGCAGTCCTTCATCAGGCTGATCATCACACAGAGAGCACTGTCATGTCTCACTCTTATTCTCTCCAGGGATAACAGCTCTGAGTGAACAGCTATCCCTCCTGTCTCTGTATCAAAGGACACGCTGACTTTTATCCGGAGCAGCTACATTTCTTTCAAGCAGTGTTTTGAGTTTTTGTTTTTAGTCTCAAGTGTGTTGTGTGTGATGAGGAAGGAGGAAGGGATGAAGATGCTAGTGAACAAAGAGATGTACAGCAGAGAGAATGTAGCAGATGCAGATACGAAGCCCTTCAGCAGCAGCTCAGTCACAGTCAATCACATTTCATGTTTTCAAAATAATTTAGTCGGCCCCAAACTTTGATCCTCCTCTGATCCAGTTTGAATTAAACAAAACATAACGTAAGCACACCGGATGGTTCTGTGACGCTCCTCTAAACTGACATTACATTGTCGCTGGTGATTTTTCACTTCCACTGACCTCACGTCTTTGATAGAAATGTATCTAGCAATTTTGTGTGCTTTTGTGTACTGTATGTATGTGGACGAGAAAGGAAGAGAGAGAGAGAGAGAGAAAGGGAGAAATGCAGAAAGGGAGAGGGCTGAGGGGGGTGGAGAGGGAAGGCAGGAAGGACATTTTTCATTCTGTGTTATCTTACAAGGCATTTCAAGGACAGCTGCTCCAGTGATGCTGACAGAAGTGATCAGCCCAGTGTTTCATTGCTTTAAGAGAATCCAAATAAATTTTAATCATTAAATTTGCACGACTGATCTTTTAAGAGTCAGAAGAAACAGAAAGACTTAAAATCAGATTAAAAGGAAGTTGCAGCAGGGTTTTTTTTTCTGATCTAATCTCTCACTTTGTGATTGTTAGTCACACAATACATTGTTTATATATATATATATATACATATATATATATTTACATGTTTGTATTTTTGCTCTTTTTTAAATTATTACAAAGGTCTCCTGGGACACCATATGTGTCCCTGGTGTCATTACTGCCGTCAGAGTCAGAACACTTTATTAGTCCCGGAGGAAACTGATTGTGCTTCAGTGCTCCACAGAGAAAACATTGAAATGCAGTGCAGAAACGGAATATAAGGCAACAAACAGAAAAATGGACATAATGTTCTTTTATTTAAGAAGCAGTAATTTTGAAAAACAATTTAGATTTTCTCCTAGTCCTTGGTCTTTTGGCCAAAGTGTAAACCAGGGTTAGTCCCACTTTAGTCATTTTTATAAACAGAGGAATCAGAACAGAGGCCAGTGTTTGACTGTACATATAATCTGGCTTTTTTTTATATACAACTTTTCTACGTCTCTCTGTGTTTGTGTTACTAAACATTTTATGCGTGCGTCTTCCAGGGCGTTGGGGCGCCATGGCTAATGCCTCCCCAGATCTGGACAACGCGGAAGCTCAACGCCAGCTCAACAACAACAACCGACCAATCGGCTCCGGGTTCTGGGAGAAGGAATGTACCAGCTCTAAGCTGTTTGAGTGCTCCCGCATCAAGGCCCTGGCAGGTCAGAGGTCACACACAGAACTACACATATATTAAACGCAGTTAGTGGCAGTAAACAGAGCTTAATTCAATGACTGAGGCGACTGATTCTGTTAAAGGAATCACATTTAATAATGTTACCTGCATTGTGTTTTCTCTGTGTCTCTGCTGTTGACAGATGAAAGAGATGCAGTTCAGAAGAAGACTTTTACCAAGTGGGTCAACTCTCACCTGTCCAGAGTGTCCTGTCGCATATCTGACCTCTACAACGACCTCAGAGATGGATACATGCTCACCAGACTGCTGGAGGTCCTCAGTGGGGAGCTGCTGGTGAGAAAACACACACACAAACACACACACTTGTCAAAGTACTGGGATACACTTTAAATATATTGAAAAGCAACTCTTTTTTTTGGTAGAATTACATATATGTTTATTTGTTTTCAGAAGTTCCTTCATTTTTACAGTCTATGATTTTCAATTTATTCATCACTGTCCTGATTTAATTTACATTGACATTTGTTCTATATGCAAGCACTTTATATTTTGTCAACTAGAACACAATATTTCATAAAATCTCCTGGATAAAAGTTTTTTTTTCTCTCTGTCACACTCCAGCCAAGGCCGACTCGCGGTCGAATGCGGATCCACTGTCTGGAAAATGTGGACAAAGCCCTGCAGTTTCTTAAAGAGCAGAGAGTTCACCTGGAAAATGTTGGTTCCCATGACATCGTGGATGGAAATCACCGACTCACCCTGGGTCTCATCTGGACCATCATCCTGCGTTTTCAGGTGAGACAGAAACATCTGTGGACATTTTAGCCTCTGGAGTTTTATTTTCTGACTACCAAGTACTGAGAACGCCGAGTCTCTGGTCAGTACTGTATCCACCTCATTCAAAATGCCAGTGTTTGGGCCAAGGTTTTAAAAGGTGCATCATCATCATCATCATCATCAGCATGAGACAGTGACAGCAGTGTTTGCATGATAACAGCTAGAAGTCACCGACGGCTTAGAGACAGCATCTGCTTCCTACAAGGACAAACTCAGACATCCAGACAGACAACCTTTATCTGTCTCTGTCTCTCCGTCTGTCTTTTGTCCATATCCTTCCATCTTTCCACTTGTCTGTTTCTCTTTTGGGTTCCATTTTTTCCCCCCTAAAACATTGATCATAGTCACACCCCCACTGGTGTCCTCTGTTTCCAGCCCTTATCATGACTTGTACCAGATCACGGCCGTGATATTAGAACATCACCAGCCTCTGGCTCCTCTTTAATACGCTTCAATGCTACATTACACTGTGGTATCGGCACAGAAACGCTTGTTTAGCAATAACAGGACATGTCTGTAACACTCACAGTGCACAGTTGGCCAGCGGCCGTCTCGTGGGACTCGGCATTGTCCTGCCACTGCTGCTGGCCGACCACCGCTCAGCACATTAACAGCACCGCTTGCAAAATTACCTCAGAATATGTTGAGTGACCTTCTGGAGGAGAGACGAGTGAAGGCAGTGTGTTTGGCTCACTTGTCTCCTGATTTTATACACAGTGTTGCTGAGAAACATTACTGACGGAACATTGTTGTGTTGTCAGACTAGCTAATCAGCTGTAACTGCAGAGTTGGAGCTGCAGCAGCGTTAGCGGCCTGCCAACTCTGCCACCATTAGCTCTGAGCTACTCAGCTGCTGCTGCCGCTGCCGCCGCTGCTCCCCACGGCAGACAGTCGACGGCCTCTTACATTTTGCATGTGCTCAGAAAACAGAGGAATGCAGGAAACTGACGTTTAGGTGTGTCTGTGTGTGAGTGGATGGTTAGGATTCAATATAATAGCTTTCAGATTGTGTCTAAACAAATGGAAATGTTACAGTCGGTTTATTTACAAAAGTGACTTTAAGATGACAATGAACAGTAAAATCATGGCCATAATCATCCTCATACTGTCACGTATTTTAAATTATTTGAATAAGAAATGTTTATGACTTCATATTAGTTTTCACTCACAGTGTTTTTACGCAGAGCTCACATTCTTTCAGTTTCTAAACTGACTGCACAGCAAATCTTTCCAGAGCTAATGTCCATGATGAGCATAACTGAGTGTATAACAAATTATTTATTAGCTTTATTAGCTTACACCAAAGGCGTATGTCTGGGGTTAATTATTTGAAGCAGTCCATTGATTTTTAGCGTCAGCAGACCTGAAGAGGTGTGTTTAATTAAAGTGCTTTCCTTCATTTTTCTTTTGTTCAATGGCTTTCCCGTACCTCAACCCTTATTTACCCCTGGTCTTCTGTCAACTGGGGTGAAAGAGAGACTTGGTTTTGACCTCTTAGCGTACGTGATAAGATGACTGCAGTGGTAAATAAAAAACTAACACAGCTCAACGCTTTACAATGATACAGAATAATGATAAAACTTATATCTATAATCATACAATTTCTAAGCATTATAGTTATTATATTTGGAAATGTGACATGTCTTTTTGACCGTCCTCCATTCACATTCACATTCACAGAAGCACGAGTGTAGATGACTGAACAGATCTGCCGTGACATCGTTCACATAATTGCATCAACTGTCACAGCATTTATTCAAACGGACACATTTAATCTTCCTGGAAATTGTTACAGCAGTTAGTGATCAGTGTGTGTGTGTGTGTGTGTGTGTGTTACCATCGTCACCATTATTTTTTACACATTATTAAATAGTTTAATTTCACTAACGTTTTAAACTGAAGCTCAGTGGTTACCATAGTTACAATATATAGAAATAGTTTTTGAAAAGAGGCGAGTAGATACATTCAGTTTAAATTCATTACATTAAAGGCCGTGGGCTCCTTCAGTCTGGACGATTGTTTATGTTTATGATATTACGTCTCTGTTGCAGAAAAAAAACAACATCTTGTTCTAATTCCTCAGTGTGGATCTGTAGTTGGTGTACACATTGCTGTCCAATGTTATGGATAAAATTATTCGCAGCAGCTGAGTGGTGGGTGTCACGTTGGCAATTACCCTGGATCATGTCATTCTGATGTGCCTGAGTGACAGCTGTCACTGTCCATCAGCAGGCATTGGTGGAGTGGCTTCGAAGATAATAATATATATATAATAATAAATATTTTGAAAGGCGTCAGAATATGTTCAGGCATGAAGCTGAACGTCACAATTACAGCGACACCTGCTGTTTGCTGTTGTTGGACCTGAAAGTACATACACATTTAAAACTGTAAATAAAATGTTGATGTAAAAGTATTTTTTAGGGGGTGATGCAGGTCATTCTCTTTATAGTTTGTGTCTTTCTTTTTTTTTTTTTCAGATCCAGGTGATCAAAATAGAGACGGAGGACAACAGAGAAACTCGCTCTGCCAAAGATGCACTGCTGCTCTGGTGTCAGATGAAGACTGCAGGGTGAGCTGTGGAATTATGTGGAATTACAGCAGCCTCCTCCTACTGTACAGCAGTGTTTCCCAAACTTTTTTTCTGGGGACCCATATTTTAAAGGTCACAAACCTTCGCGACCCAAGTCAATAGATGTAAACTCCTGGGAAACATGATGTGAGACGACCCAAAAGAAAATCTCTTGCTACCCACGCAGACTTTGGGAAACAATGCTGTACAGTATTTAAAGTACACAGCAGTTTCACTGAAGAAGAGAAGTCATGTATTTTTTCTCAGTAAAAAGAATCAAAATATATTTGAGTAAAACAAAAAAACACGAATAACTGGACACAAACCTCTCGGTAGAGGCCTGTGTCCAGTTATTTACCTCTAAGATGAGAAAACAAACATTACCGTCTCTTGGTCCCAACACACCATCAGCCCAGTCTGGTGCTATGCTAGGACTATAATTACAGTGTTGCTAACTTTACTGTCTTGACGATCCAGGTACCCTGAGGTCAACATCCAGAACTTCACCACCTGCTGGAGAGATGGCCTGGCCTTCAACGCTCTGATACACAGACACAGGTGAGTGGGGGGGTTGTAACGACCGCCTTCATAAAATATGGTGGTTTTTAAAGTAGTTTGAAACAGATGGATAAACAGCAGGTCTTACACCTAACCTGTTCAGATGGTGGTTTTTTACATCTGTCCTGTGTGAACTGATCACAGGTCAGTAGGCAGTCTGAAAACTGCTTTTGCCACAGGTATAATAATTATTATAATTACATGCTTTAATAATTATATAATCTTCTTGTTTCCTTCAGGCCTGACCTCATCGAGTTCCACAAACTGACCCGGTCCAATGCAACTCACAACCTCCAGCAAGCCTTCAACATCGCTGAGCAGAAGCTGGGCCTGACCAAACTCCTGGACCCAGAGGGTGAGCAGGTCGCTCTGGTTCTGGATGTAGCAGTAGCTATAAATCTGTGGAACTTCGGGGGAGTTCCTCAGACAGAAATGTGCAATAAGTCACATAGTGAAGGAGCTGTGACTGAAACTAACAAATGTTGCTCATTTAGACATTTGAAATATTTAAGCTCCTTACGTTCCGTCCTCTGCTGCAGATGTGAACACAGAGAACCCAGATGAAAAGTCGATCATCACATATGTGGTCTCCTATTACCACTACTTCTCCAAGATGAAGGCTCTTATTGTGGAGGGCAAGAGGATTGGAAAAGTAACAAATACACTTGAAGCATATTCTTATTGAAAGCAAAGCAAAGCAACAATCTCAGACTTTATTGTGACTGTGACTTCATCTCCCTGTCCTTCAGGTGCTGGATAACTGTGTTGAGGCAGAAAATATCATCAACCGCTACGAAGCCCTGGCCTCAGACCTTCTGGACTGGATTGAAAAGACCATCGCTGTCATTAGCAACCAGAAGTTTGCCAACTCACTGACAGGAGTTCAGCAGCAGCTGCAGGCCTTCACCACCTACTGCACTATAGAGAAGCCAATCAAGTAGGATTTCAGATCAGGAATGAGGAAAATGTGCATTCATATTAATTCCCAGTGGGAAATTGTTGTTGCTGCAGCTGTAGAAGTCCAAGGTCTAAGACATAAATACATGTACAAGAATGGGTTTGGATAGGATATAACATTAATAATTCCCACCTTTAAAATTATATTGAGTAAATAGCTCTTTATTAAAAACCATCATAAACGTTTGAACTTTACATGTCTATGAGTCTACGATGATCCAATGATGTTTTGACGATATGTGTGGAAATCAATCGCTGTCCTTTAACGCTGTGTGAAAGTGTCTTAATCAAATCGTTCCAACTGAGGAGGAAACGCTCCTAAATAAAAGTTGAATGTCTGCTCAGATTTCAGGAGAAGGGGAATCTTGAGGTCCTCCTCTTTACCATCCAAAGCAAACTCAGAGCCAACAACCAGAAACCCTACGTGCCTCATGATGGGAAGCTGATTTCAGACATCAATAAGGTCAGTCTGCAGTCGAATCTCTGAACCTCAAATACACTCTTATTATGCAAAATATAAGTTTTGTCATTTCCTGTCCAGGCCTGGGAGAGGCTTGAAAAGGCGGAGCATGAGAGGGGCGTGGCCCTGCGCAAAGAGCTGATTCGTCAGGAGAAGCTGGAGCTGCTGGCTCAACGCTTTGACCACAAAACCACCATGAGACAAGCCTGGCTCAATGAAAATCAGAGACTTGTTTCACAGGTACGGGTTTGAGGAGTGGTATTCATTTGTGCTTTATTTGTTATTTTTTTAAGACTTTATCCATTTTTATCTGAATTTTGAAAAAATATTTTGGCTTCTATTGTTCTGCTGTTTTATATCTGTTTTATATCTGTGATGTGTTGTGATGTACCATGTGTTTATATTTTACTTGTAGCCCTTTGTCAGAATAACTGGTGAATAATTAGATGTATAATCATTTCTCCATCTGTTTTTTCTTTGCCTGCACCTGAAGGACAATTTTGGCTACGACCTTCCTGCGGTGGAGGCAGCCATGAAGAAACACGAGGCCATCGAGGCAGACATCGCGTCGTACGAAGAGCGGATTGGCGTGGTGGTTGAACTTTCAGCCGAGATGGAGAAGGAAGGATATTACGACATTCGAAGAATCCTGGCTAGAAGGGAGAACATCCTGGGTCAGTGGGGTCTGCTGAAGGAGCTGGTGGCTGGAAGGAGGACCCGTCTGGAGAAAAACCTGGCTCTGCAGAAGACATTTCAGGACATGGTTTACATGATTGACTGGATGGAGGACACCCAGGTAATGAAGCCCGTGAGATTGGAAGAAACAGTAGATATGAGTAGGTAGGTACTGATGCAAAAAAAAAAAAGTGAAGATAGAAGAAGATGGAGAAGGAGTGAAATTTCTCTGGTATTGAAAGTAGAAAGAGATTTAGACATGAAGCAGAAATGAAATGAGTTAATCCAAGATGTGTCCCTGTGTCCTCTCAGGTCCAGCTGCTGTCCAAAGACTTTGGGAAACATCTTTTAGAGGTGGACGACCTGCTGCAGAAACACAGCCTGCAAGAAGCAGACATCACTGTGCAGGCTGAGAGGGTGGAGACACTCAACACTTCTGCACTTAAATTTACCACCATAGAGGGTAGGTGACACTCGGTGTTACAGTCCTAACCCGTATTATTTAATCAGTCATTAATCTGATAAGGTGGAAGAAGACTGATGAAGAAGTAACAAAGTGTTACTGTGAAAATCCAGACCTGAAATAATGTTAATAAATTAAAAATCCAAATAACATATAAATGATAAATTGATTCTTCTGATTATTATTATTTGTATATAGACATACAAATTAAGGAAAAACCTTATTATTAAAATGTTTAAAACATTTTTTATTATTAAAAAATATGTAGTTTCAATGTATTATGTTAATAATTAAATGAGCTTTTCTATTGGTTACTTGTGTACCTGGTAGAATTAAAATTGAAATCAAGTGTTAGGGTCTGTTATTTTTGAGGCATCAGAATGATTGAATTAATTTTACAGTAAAAAGGTTAGCGAGAATTCATTGAACACTTTTGAATTTCTTTTGGATGTCTCTGGGAAATGCAGTCATGTGCACATTTCCAACAGAGTTCTCGGTGAAATGTAATATCAGTAACATGAACTGCTCAGTACAGTCTGTCTGTGTTTTTTACCGTAACGGCCCTTTTTCTTTTTTCTTTTGCTCATTCGTCCTTACTTCCCCCCAGGTTACCAACCATGTGACCCACAGGTGATCTGTAATCGCGTCAATCACGTCTCCTCTTGTCTGGAGGAGCTCAAACATCTAGCAGTGAAAAGAAGAGCTGAGCTGGAAGAGTCCAGGCAGCTGTGGGCCTTTTTTCAGGTAATTCATCAAATACATTCAGATAAAATGTCATTAAACTCTAATCCTTCATGGTCGTGTTTTTATTTTAAAGAAATTTACAGTGAATGTTATATTAAAATAAGTGCAATGTAATGTTCAATCAAAGAGATTTTATACTGTCACATGGTGACAGTAGCTTGAATTGCATTGTGATGTCAGTTGTAATGTATATGTGTGTGTGTGTGTGTGTGTCTCCTGTCAGGAACTGGAAGAATCCGAGGTGTGGATCAGAGAGAAGAGCTCCATCTTGGGAGCTCAGGGTTACGGGAAGGACCTGAGCAGTGTGCTGAAGTTACTGCAAAAACACAAGACTCTGGCTGGAGAACTGCTGGCTCACCGTTCACTGCTGCAGGTGTGTGTGTGTGTGTGTGTGTGTGAATGTATCATCGTTTGGAAGAATTGCAGTACCTGGAAATTCTGTTCTGAACTTTATGTACGTTGTTTATGTTCAGCACATGCATTAATAACACGTGTACCACAGTGGGGTTTTTTATTTACAGGTTTTTTTTGTCTATACCAGTTATGACTTGTAATTTTCACGAAATCACTCAAATGCAATTGTAAAATGTAACTGTATGCTTGTAGTTTACTGACACCTTTTCCGTGTCATGTTCCATTTTTCCACGTGTCCTTTTTCTACAGAACACCATGAAGAGAGGAAAGCAGATCCTGAGTGAGAAGAGCTTTGGCACTGCAGGGATCCAGGAGCACATCATGGAGGTGAAAAGCGAGTGGAAGCTGCTGGAGGACCAGGCAGCGCAGCGCCTCGGCCATCTGCAGGAGGCGCTCAACTTTTTCCAGTTCTCCACTGAGACGGACGACCTTGTGGCCTGGCTGCAGGATGCTTACCGCCTGGTCTCCAGCGAGGACTTTGGACACGACGAGTACTCCACTCAGTCGCTGTTGAAGAAACACAGAGGGGTCAGTGAGGCCATCGACAAGCATCGGGTGCATGTAATGGCGCTGCGGAAGCACATGGTGGCGCTGCCTCTGCAGTACCGTGATCAGGAGGTGGGTGGAAACAGAAGGATCATCTGGTGACGTTTATTTAAAAGTATCTTTAACTCTGTGAAATACACCACCCTGATGTAGGAGGTTCAGGTTCGTATGGGGGAAGTGGAGCAGCTGTACACCGAGGTGGTCGAGGTGGCAGTGCTCAGACAGCAGTGGCTTCACGATGCACTCGCCGTCTACCGCATGTTCAGCGAAGTCAATGCATGCGAAGTGTGGATCGACGAGAAGGAGCAGTGGCTGGATAAGATGGAGATCCCAGAGAAGCTGGAGGACGTGGAGGTGGTGGCACACAGGTGAGTGATTAAGAACGAAGGATTTTATAACATCACAGCTGAGGGGTTACACACTCTCACTGTTTGTTTGCATTCACTTTTGGTCGTAGGTTTGAGAGTTTGGACCAGGAAATGAACAGCCTGATGGGAAGGATCCTTGATGTGAACCAGATCGTTCAGCAGCTGCTGGATGGAGGTCATCCATCATCCGCAGAGGTCAGAGGTTGTCAGGACCACCTTAACTCCAGGTACTGTCCTGCCGTTGGATGAGGTCTTCATGTGTGTCTTTCTTCAATTCCCGTGAATCAATCAGCATTGTGTTCAGCTAAACAGCCCCATTGTTTCACACTGAGTAAGTAAACTGTGGGTAAACTGAAACTGGAAGATGTCGAACTGTCGAACAGCTAGTGTTTTCTAAACCACAAGAATGGGTTGAATTAGTATTCAACAATTAGATCTAAATCCTGTAGTATATTGGAGCTTGAATTAATTTGCTGTCGAAGTACATTCTCTCCTCCCTGGATCTCTATCCCCAGCCTCTCTTTATCAGTCCCTGTCACACTCCCTGTGACGACCATGTCTGGCAGGACAGTCCGCAGCAGCCGGTTGTCTGTGAATCATATGACCTTGGCAAAGGGAGTTGTTCTCAGGGTGACCATCTGTGCTGGTGACCTCATTTAAGACGAGACAAGTCCAGAGCTTTTGTCCCAAAATATAAACAAATGCAAAGAAATATAGTGGTTTCATCATGTTCTCGAACACGTTGTCGGGGCCCTCAGATATGTCAAATAAATGACTTCAATAAGAAATAGTGCAGTACTACTACTGTAAATGCATTTTATTTCACAGGATAAAACTGAATACATTCTACTAGCAGATTTAAAGAGACATATTAAATGACAGTTGTTTAATTCATAGACAGGACACAATATATACAGTATAACAATGTAAGGTTTATTTGTTTCACAGTACAGTATTTTGTTTTAAAAATAAGAGTGTTCGTTAGCTGTGTGAACTGTACTGTTTTGAGTGTTCGTTAGCTGTGTGAACTGTACAGGATTTCTGCGTGACTTTGACTTCATTACAGTCACAGGGACCTGTGTGTGCGTATGTGTGTTCAGGAGCAGACTCAGAAGAACATATTGTATGACACTGTGTTATGGACTGAGACCACCGCATTGCAAACAGAACCAAGGGTATCAGATAAATCTGTAGAGTTCATATCAGGCCAACACGGCTGTGGGTTTAACATACGTCTGTACAACACATCAAAAAGACTTCAATAAGAGATTTAGTTGAAAATATTTCATCAGTAGTAATAAAATCATCTTCACTGTCTGTCACATCAAAGAATCATTTTTTTCCTCCTCCCGTCGCTCCCGTCTTCTCTTCACATCAGGTGGAACAGCATCGTCGGGCTGGTTGAGCACAAAAAAGGTCAGCTGAACACCATGTTACGGCTGCAGAACTACCTGCTGGAGTGTGCTGAAATCAAATCCCAGATCCAGGACAAGAGAAAAGCCATTGATGCCACTCAGTACGTGGGCAGTGATCTGGGCGGAGTCATGGCTCTGCAGAGACGCCTGTCCACCATGGAGGGGGCGCTGTCTGTCCTGGAGCCAAAACTACTGCACCTGCAGGTTGGAAAACATTAAAACTTTTTTTTTGTTATTAATTAGAAAGATTTTTGTTGGTAATTTGAACAAGAATCAGCAAAATAAATGATGGTGTCGAATTAAACAGGCTAGGATTTGTGGTCTGTGTTGGTTGATGCAGGAGGAGGCAGAGCATCTGGCCACCTTTCACTCGGGTCAAGCCATGGAGATTCTCGTGCCATTTGACGGCATCAGCGTGGAGTGGGAGGAGCTTAAATGCACTCTCCAGGGCTGTGAAGACTCACTGATGGTGGCCAGCAGACTGCAGAGCTTCATACAGGTAAACAGGTACAGGAAAAGGTGTAATCATGACTGATGATTTAAAATGTTGTGGTTAAAAGATTGATTTTGGATGATTTTTTTTAAAAAAGGGCATTAAAAATAATTAACTAAATTACCAGAATATGTTAATATTTGTCTCTGGAGAGATTTTAGTGGTTTCATTAAATAGATTTTTGTGTAACCCCAACCCTTATCCTTACAAATACAAATAAATACAAAAAACACTTGCAAAATTAACCAAAAATTTAAATTATCGGGGGGAGAGGGGGCATGCACTTGATTTAGATAAAAACACCCCAAAGGAAACCAAAAATTATCCAACTTAAAATTGGCGTATTTTTCATTGTTCTCATTCTTTTTTTAGTCCCAAAAGTGAAACTACAACTGCTTGTTTCCCCAGTGGCATCTTAATGTTACTGCGACCTTTCCGTTAAACCACTCTGTCCACAACCTTTTGAAACATCCAGTTGTATTTCACGGTTCAGAGGCTTTAAATTGTTTTTGATTCATTAACAGTGTTCTGGCCGTGCACCGACACTCGCCGTAGAAACAGTTAGAGAATGAAATGTAATTCATGTTCCTGTTTCTGTTCTGTCAGGACCTGGACTCGTTCCTTACCTGGTTGGTCCAGACACAGACCGCCGCTGCCTCAGACCAGCTGCCCAATGACCTGGAGGAGGCTGAGAAACTCATCAACAAACATGCTGCACTCAAGGAGGAGATAGGACGGTGTGTGTTGCCACAGGACTACAGTAGTCTTTGCCCAAAGCTTCATCCAAAAAAAAATAATCCTGTGTTTTTTGTCTGTACCCTTGTATGTGCAGTTATGAAGAAGACTACGAGCGCCTGCAGGCCATGAATGAGCTGCTGGAGTCTGAAGAGGCTCCTCTTCCTCAGGCCGCGCTGCAGCAGTGGCTCCAGAAACTTGACGTGGGCTGGAATAAACTGCTGGAGATGTGGGAGAGCAGGAGAGAAGTTCTGGTCCAGGCCCACATTTTTCATCTGTTCCTGCGAGACGTCAAACAGGCCGAGTCCTTCCTCAATAATCAGGTGAGGAGGAGAAGACCAGACCTGGAGGTGGAGGCTTTGGGAGGTGCTCTTTAGTGTAATGTCCAATAGTTGCCAGTTGGTGAATATACATTTTCCCAGCTCCAACAATTCCAAATTCAATTTTGAGTTTGTAAAATTAGCTTAAAAATCAGACAACTAATTTATTTACTATATATATGCTCTGTGGTTTTTATGATATTTCGTTATTTCCTTAGAACCAAGACCTGGTATCTGCAGCCTGCCACCACTCTCTCTCTCTCTCTCTGTTTTCTTTTTATTGTTCTGGCCCTGCAAGAACACGTTGTCTCTAAACGGACTGGATCAATGTGTGGAAAGTCCACTGGACCAGGGTGTGGCCAGCTCCTCCGTTTGTGTTGTAGTGTGTGCATCTTTCTGCAGAGTAACTCAGTGTTATGTGATATTACAACAATAGCTGTTCAACAAGCAACTGCCAGTGGATGTGGATCCATATTTAGGCTTTATATTGAAGTGTGGTTAGCAAAAGCTTTTGAAATCCAAATCTCTTAAAAACAAAACAAGAAATGAAAAATCAAAAAAAAAAAAACAGGGAGAATTAAAACTTTAACAACTAAAAACACCAAATAAAAAAATTGATCGTCTGAACTCAGCAAGAACCTCCATCTGTTCCCATTTAAAACCGTGTTTTTAAACCATTGTAAATGTATTTGTATGTATTGCTGAGATAGCTTTAGTTTTGTGGACTAAACTCACAGAGTGACCCGACTTCTGTGTCCTAACGCTCCAGGAATCGGCCCTGGCTCACGTGGAACTGCCCACCACCGTGGAAACAGTTGAAGCTGCCATAAAGAAACACAAGGACTTCACCACCACCATGGAACTGAACCTGCACAGGATCAAAGCTGTGATCGAGGCAGGAGAGAGTCTCATCAGCCAGAGTAACATCTACTCCGACCGCATCAGGGAACGCATCGACACCCTCGCCAACAGGTACGCCAACACAGGACATACACTCAAGTAGACCGGTGTAATACAGCTGTATTACTTTATTAAATTAAAAGAATTACCAACGGTCTGAGCAGACATTTAAAATTAGATTTCAATATTCAAGACCAACATGCAATGGTTACCAAAAAAAAAAAAAACCCACAGAATTCAAGACCAACATGCAAAAAACCACAGCTGATCATAAAATCTGTGTAAAAGCCCAGTGTGTGTCAGTGTTAAAAAAAAAACAACTTTAAATAATGTAATTTACATGTTTATGCTCAACAACAGGGGAAGCCATATGGTTTTTAGATTTTATTTCAACATAAATTAATTTAATTTTCTCCAGGGGCGCAACAACCAACAATATTTCTGTTTTTATTATTTTCTTTCTGTTTATTAAAATAAACAAGAAGTTGTAAAAAAAAAACTACACTGTAGCTATGATCAGTTTCTTGCTCCAATAAATGAATGTTCCTGCTCTTTACCCCGTCAGAGGAAACCAGAACAGAGAGCTGGCCCAGCAGTGGTTGGAAAAACTAAACGACCAGTGGGAACTTCAAAGGTTTCTCCAAGACTGTCACGAGGTAAGAGTCTGTTCTGTGGTTCTACTGTACAGAAACAGCCTTATTACAAAGGCAGCTAACAGCAGCACAGCACCCTCTCTCTTTTTTTTATTTCTGGTGCGTCCTCTAGTGGCTGTACAAAGTGACCTCATTTTCCAGACTCCATCGTTGTTATGCTCTCATTTTAATTGGTTCTCATTCAGTCATCGGTCTGGGCGTGATCACAGATGATTGGCTGCTCCTTTAAACAGATTAGTATCATCATTACTTCCTTACTACATCTATGACTTCCTCAGTTTTTTTTTCTTGTTTGCTCCTGTATCGGATGTTTTTTTTTCCCCAACATTCCATAACTCTATTCCAACCCTGTCCATCCCTGTCACTCCCAGTGAAAACTAAACATCCTCCCTGCAGTCTCTTCTTCGCGCGTTTCCTGCGCTGATCATTACTTTGGAAGATCGATTCCCGGAGATTAAACTACACCTTTACGGTCCTCCTAGTGTCGCATTCTCACATGTGCACACCGTCTGTTGCGAGCTGTGTTTGTTTTGGTCCACACTCTCATGCACCTGTACTGTAGTACTGCCTTGTTGGCTGCTTTTTGTTTTTGCTCTCTCACACTGCAGAGTCACCGGCTCTTTTCTGGGCCAAAACCTTATTTAGTTTCAGCAACTTTCTCTCTTTAGCTCCTGCATAATTTATCAACGCAGCACCTCATCACTTATTCAGAAGAAGAAGAAGAGTGTATCTAACTGTACATTCGTGTGTATATGTGTGTGTGTGTGTCCTACATTAGATTTATGACGCTGCGTCAGTCTGTAGGTAACCTGACCTCTGAGCTGACAGGGCGTGTCCTTCTCTTAAATCCATCTTTATATGCAAAGTTTCATGCTCTTCAGAGTCACTTCCTGTCCACTTTACTGACGTGCATTTTAACCACATTGAGGAATATACTATTTTCAGTTAATGGACTTGTGTTTATACATAATATATTTTCTTTTACAATATTTGCATATTATAAACCACTTAAGACTCTAAAAGTAGTAGAAATAAATATGTAATATGTGCTTATAGGATGATTATAGACTGTATATTATAATAATTCGTACCAATATTATTATTATTATTGTTGTTGTTATTGTTATTGTCCAGTTGTTATTGTTGTCAAATTTATAAAATAATAATTAATAATATTTAAAAATATTTTTGACCAAATCAATTGTAATCAAATCAAATGTAATCTGTTATCTAATAGATTAATTGATTTTTTTTTTTTTTTTTAATGTAATCTGTTATCTAATAGATTCATTGATTTTTTTTATTTTACATTCACCATGTTGTTGATTAGTTGAGTTGACTGACTTATTTAACTGTATGTCGGACAGTGATATAATGACTCCAGGTCTGTGATTCCTCCTTCCCTGGCCTGCCCTGCTCCCCATCATCTATTCATTTTCATTTATTTTTATGTCTCAACCTGGATATCAGTACACACACACACACACACACACACAGACCTGTTCTCTCTCCTTTCAATTCATTGACAGTCTCAAGGGGGGAATCAGACTGTGACCCATCATGACCTCTGCAGCCTGTGTCTGTGTCTGTGTACATGTCCACACTTTGTGACTGCAGACTGTCTTTCTGCCAGTGAAAACATGTGTGTGTGTGTGTTTAATATACTGTCTATAAAGAGTTGTGGGGTTTAAGAGACACACGGAGCTCCATCGGACGGAAATGCACAGCTGCCTCTTTAAAAGGAGAGAGAGTTCCTGTAAATCTATCAAACCACACACAGATCAGTCACATTAGACCAGTGCTCTGTCCAGTGCTTCACACACTCCTGTCCCGGTCTGTCCTCCATCACGCTTCCTGTTTTCATAGTCTTTCCTCTCTCTCTCTCTCTCTCTCTCTCTCTCTCTCTCTGCTCTACCACTGCAGCAGTATGAGGCGTGCTGTAGACCGAGCACACAGCTGCCTGGGACTGCTGCAGAGAGATAGAGAGGGATGTTAGAGTGGGTGGTGGTGTGTGTTTTGTGTGGGTGGTGGATAATAAAACAAAAGCAGACACGGAGGAGTGTTAAGCGTGGGTATTAGTGGACACCCATGTGTTTCAGTCCACTTAAGCAGCTAGATTTTTTCCCCTCTTGTTTGTTTAACCCCCCCTCCCCACTGTACTGTATGTTCCTCCTTTCTTGGCGCCCCCTCTCCTCCTGCTTCTCCTCCAGTTCAGCATCATTAGCCATGACCGGTGAGCCTGGAAGCACCGCCTGCTTCCCCTGCTCCCCCATCCGCCTCTTTACAAAATCCAAATCCAAGTAGTGCAGCTCCTCCCCCTCTACTCCTCATCCTTCTTCTTCTCCTCCCCCACTCTATCTCTCCTCCAAGCAGTCCACTTAAAGGTGTCAGGCAGGGGAGGAGCACCTGTGCATCGCCTCAATAGTCTGCCATTTTTGGGTTTTGGGAAAGAGGATTTTTTTATTTTTTTTACCTTCCTCTGTCTCTCTCAGCTGTTCTCCTTTTTTACCCTCTTGTCTGCCGCTGATCCGTTCCCTCCCCTTCCTCTATCCTGGAGTACAGTCAGAGCTGCCTGAGCGCAGCCTCAGTTTGAAGTCCCTCGTCTGTCTCTTTAGCCTTCAGTAGAGTTGTTATCTACACTCATGGCTGGAATTTTCCTCCCTGCACATCTTTTGTGTTCCCCCCTGGGATTCAGCTCCACAGCAGGAACCTCTTTGTCTTTTTTATTCTCCCGTCCATGCTTTCTGCTCTGTCTCTATCTGGCTCTGCGGTGAGAAACATCTTTCCCTGTGTGTGTGAGAGAGAGTGAGAGACAGCAGACGAGAGAAGATGCGGATACCAGCAGCTGCCTGCAGCTGCCACAACCCTGTGAGCTGTTCCTGTTAAATGCTGCCGGTAAAGAAAACATCGGCTCAGTAGTTGGGGTTAAGGAGTGCAGTTGTGGTGGAGGTGTGAAGATGGAGATGACAGCGAGTGGATGGTGCTGATGTTGACCTGGATATGTCAGTGATGCTGTCGCCACACTGTTTCTGCCATGTGTTGATCTCACACCCATTATCTATGTGTATGTGTGTGTATGTGTGTGTGTTGATGTTTGTGCTGCTGCTGTGGAGAGGGTGATCTGCCGTGTGCACATGTGCGTTCCTGCTGCCATGCTTGTTGCTACACGTGTGTCTGTCGTCATGTGCCTGCTGTATGTCATTAAGTATTCATGTCCGTGTGTGTGTGTGTGTGCGCTTGACCTTGCATTTCCCGCTTCTCCTGCTGTTGTCACTTCAAGTTCAGCACAGTGTTTGATTTTCTTAGTGACCTAATTTAGAACTCTAGAAGGAGTTAATAATAAAAAAGTAATAGTATATTAGTGACCTAATTTAGGAGTTAATAATAAAAAAGTAATAGTAAGTCAGGTATCGTGAGTCAGTGATTGTACACATCTTACATAACTAGCCATATGTTTCTCTTGTGATCCAGACCCACAGTTTCTACAACACCAACAGGTATTCGCAGTATTTGTACTCATGAAACGTTGACACCTCCTCCTCTCTTTTATTTGCACCTAGCTTGGTGACTGGGTGTGTGAGAAGATGCTAATGGCCAGGGACCGCAGCCGGGATGAGACCCAGAAGCTTCATAAGAAATGGCTGAAGCACCAAGCCTTCATGGCCGAGTTGGCCCAGAACAAGGAATGGCTGGACAAAATTGAAAAGGTGAGTGGATACTTGTTGGTCACCTAAAACCTTACCTTTCCTGCCTGGCAAATGTGTAAATAGTCTTGAGTTTGTTGCTAAAGTGGAAGGCGAGAAAGCAGTTGTGCTACGAGCTAAAGCTAATTAGCGTTTGGTCTACAGGTGTTTTCAGAGACACTAAAGAAGTAACAAACCATTTTCAAACCTTTGTAAAGTAAAATGTACATTCCAAAATCATTTAGCTGTTATTTAGAAAATTAAAACTTTTTTTATTTTTTAACTATCCAGATTCATATACTTGCTACAATAACAAGACATGCTTATTTAGATTAGTTCAATGAGAAGTGAGTGTTGTTTATATTGAGGTCAATGACTATATTGCTGTAACACATCCTATCTCCCTATAAAGGAACATTTGATTATAACATTCAATTTATAGTAAAACAACATAGTTATTTATTTGTTACAGCAATCTCTATAGACAATTCTCCCACCAAAATAAATAGAAAGGACTCCATTAAAATAACAGTTGACATTTTAGCAAAATTTTCCTAAACCACGAACACTGTGCCTCTAATATAAAATAAAGTGCGGTGTTTCCTCTGTCTGGCTGGATGCAACTATAAACGACTTTTTCAATTAATAGTAGTGGTTGATTAAGACTCATAAAAAAGACTAATATAAAATAAAGTTCGGTGTTTCCTCTGTCTGGCTGGACGCAACTATAAACAATTTTTTCAATTAATAGTAGTGGTTGATTATTTTAATAGTTAATAAGCCATTGATCCATTAAATACGGCAACGCTTGAAGCATCAAGTCAGTCTTAACTGGCAGAGCTGTGTGTTACCGCCTGTTGGCTGAAGCTCCAACGTTTTCTGACAAAGAAATATTTCCAAATGCATTGTTTTGTATGTAAAAACACCCTTGTTTACGTGTTTTCTTTTGAAAGGCGTCATTTATTTCAACAAAACGAAAGCATCAATCATCACAGCTACACAATTTGTCAGACCTGTGATTGCAGTGTTCACACCTCTGTGTGTAGGGTCTTGTTTCCTAACGCTTCGTCCATCGCTGATCTGTCGCCCCATTGAATCAGTTGTACCTTTATGAGAGGTTACATTTGATTTATGTAGATAAGTAAAGAATTTTATATTTAAACCTTTGAGTCACCCTTTAGGTTTTGTTGCTTTTTCCCATTAGAGAAAATGGACACAACAAATCATAACATGAAGAGATTCTACTCTAAAACCTGACAATGGTAGAGTTTACAGTTCATGTTACAGGGTGGGAGCATTGGTGAGAGCAGACCTGTTGTCATTCCTGACCAATCAAACACATATGAACACTCTTCCATTAAAAGGAATGAATCAGCAGCTCATCTTTCAGCTGTTTTTATTATGGCAATCACTAAACAAGACAAGAAAAAAAAAAATCATATCTTTTTTATGTCATTCTTCCAAAAATGTGACATTTTAAACTCCTCAGTATTATACAGTCACTGATTCCATGTTGATGACTCTTCTGGGTTTATAACACCAGGGTGTCTCAGTTTGTCAGGACACATGGAGGCTGATGGACCCATATGGACTGGTGTGGAAAATCTGACCTGTGACAGTCGAGCTAACACTGTGGTGGATGGTGATAATTAGTGTATGGTGTAAACACATCCTGGCAGGGCATGTGGTCTGAGGAAAAGAAGAGACCATGACAATACAAGTATTCTGATAAAAACTTTGCACTTATGACTCAAACCAGTAAAACTCAGTGCACTCGTTTGGCTCCGTTGGTGTTTTCATATGGCTAAATCTGGCACGATGACTGGTTCTTCTGCAGTCTCATACTGGGCTGAAACTCAACTCCCCTTTGGGATCAGAGTGAAGCGAGTCGAAGCTCTCAATCATTGCATTTATAGTTTTATACGCATTCGTTGGCTTGTTGTAGATCTAGAAATATATCAATCGTTTTGTACAGCCACTCCTGCAATATTATACATTGCATTTGCACTGTCTTTTTGTTGTTGTTGTTGTTGTTGTTGTTGTTGTTGTTGTTGTTGTTGTTGTGGTGGTGGTGGTGGTTATATAATGAAATTTGGCAGTAAAAATAATCGCAACCGACTCAACACTTGTCAAA